TCGCGCCAAGACCAGAATCTTCATTAAGTCGACTCGCGCCAAGACCAGAATCTTCATTAAGTCGACTCGCGCCAAGACCAGAATCGTCATTAAGTCGACTCGCGCCAAGACCAGAATCTTCAATAAGTCGACTCGCGCCAAGACCAGAATCTTCAATAAGTCGACTCGCGCCAAGACCAGAATCTTCATTAAGTCGACTCGCGCCAAGACCAGAATCTTCATTAAGTCGACTCGCGCCAAGACCAGAATCTTCATTAAGTCGACTCGCGCCAAGACCAGAATCTTCTTTAAGCCGGATCGCGCCAAGACCAGAATCTTCTTTAAGCCGAACCATGCCAAGGCCAGAATCGTCTCTGAGTCTCCCCGCGTCAAGACCAACATCTTCTTTAAGTTATCTCTCAGTAACACCAGAATCGCCAACAGCTGAACCTACAGTGAGACCAGGATCGCCAGCACTCCAACTCGCAGCTAGGCCAGAAATTTCTTCAGGTCGACTCTTAACAAGACCAGAGTCATCTCTAAGTCGACTCACAGGAAACACAGAATCTCCTCCAAGTCAACCAGCAAAAGGTCAAGAAGCAAAGACCACTTACCCGGCCGCAGAAAGACCAGGATCCAGCCAGAGCTCGGCAGCCCATCCGCCCAAGATCGAAGCTCTGAAGAAATCAGGTTCTCGACATTCGCTGCGCAAAAGCCAGTCAGCAACGTCCTTGTCCCTGCCATGCATTCTTCCACCGCTTCCTTATTATCCAAGGCCTCCCCCCTCCTTATCCTCCTCCTGTGCCCCCTTTGTCCAACCGAGGGGAATGCCCGAAGCCCGGAGCACGGTTAAGGATCTCAAAGAAGAGCAGCAACGCACTCTCCATGAAGGAAAGAGTTTGGGAGCAAAGCAGGACTTGGTTCAAACAGTAGACGTTGAAACGGAACACACTGCAGTCAGGAGATGCACGGGGGAGGCACAACAAAGTAGAGTGAACACTGACCAGAGTGTGGTTAAGACACATCTTGCTGTAGTAAAGACACACCCTAGTGTAGTGAAGACACACCCTAGTGTAGTGAAGACACACCCTAGTGTAGTGAAGACACACCCTAGTGTAGTGAAGACATTCCTTAGTGTGGTGAAGACACATTCTTGCGTGGGAAAAACACAATTAGTTGTGTTTACACCACAATACTATGTGACTACACCACAGTACGGTGTGCCTACACCACAGTACGATGTGCCTACACCACAGTACGATGTGCCTACACCACGGTATGATGTGCCTACACCACAGTACGATGTGCCTACACCACAGTACGATGTGCCTACACCACGGTATGATGTGCCTGCACCACAACATGAAGTGCCGTACTTCAAGCCACGCATCGAAGTAATGCAATTCGCCCAAAAGGCCGGGGCGCGAGACCGACAGTGAAATTGTCACCAGTGGGAGTCGAAGAACACCGGCGCCCTAATTCGTCGCGAGGAAATTTTTCTCCGACAAATCATTTTGTTGATGATTTGGAACACACGGAGGCCAAAGACAAAAGAGGAACGAGAAAAATAAGATAAATGGAGATCAGATCAGAAGATTTATATGTTTAAAACAACAGTAATTTGTTTTCGATACGATTGATGACTGGTATAAAAAATACTCAAGATGACGGAGAACTTTAACATCTATTGAACACTTCTTTTGTGCTTGACATAAATGGGGTTTGTTCAGCAGCAGTTGTAATAAAACATGATAGTGAACAGCAAGTTATTATCTACCTAGTGAATTATAAGGAAAATAAAACTATCTATTTTCAGTATTTTCGTCTGTTTTCTTATTTCTTGCCCTAATCAATGCCACTGAAATATGTGGAATATTCCTATACACATAATATTTTAATTTTGTTTAATATCAAGTCAATATTATTATATGCATTCTTCTGTATCCGCGTGTCTATCTCTCTCACTCTCCACTAGTGATTTCTAACCTTCGGGAGCACGACCCCCTACGGGGATGTAACAATGTGTATGTGTCAGGTTTTGGTTGCATCTTCGGTTTAAAAATGTTTCATGATTCCCATATACAATAGTTCTTATTTCTTGCATAATAGTGGTATGCTAGCAATAGCAATATAAATTAAACTATTATCATTATAAAAATCTGTGTCACACGCATATATATACATATCTATCTGTCTCGTTATCTGTCTGTCTATCTGTGTGTGTGTGTGTGTGTGTGTGTGTGTGCATGCAATATATATATATGTATATATATATATATATATATATATATATATATATATATATATATATATATATATATATATATATATATATATATATATATATATATATATATATATATATATATATACATATATATATATATATATATATATATATATATATATATATATATATATATATATATATATATATATATATATGTGTGTGTGTGTGTGTGTGTGTGTGTGTGCATGCAATATATATATATATATATATATATATATATATATATATATA